TTAATTATTTATTATACTTTTAAATATATTTTAAATATAAATTTATTTTTATTTAATTAATAAATAAATAAATTAATTATAATATAATATAATAACTTTTAATATATCTTTTATTTTCTTTATTTTAAAACTTTATATTATAATAGTCTCCTTTTATATATTAATAATATATAATTTATAAAATTATATTTATATTAATATTTTTATATTTTATATATATAGTATATATTATTTATTCTTTTATTATATTAATAAAATAAAAATTATATATTATAAGTTTTAAAATATTATAAATAATATAATATTTTAAATAAAGTAATATAAATATATTATTTATTAATAAATATATTTTATATTATTTATATTATATTTTATAATAATAAATAGTATTATAGTTAATTTAAAATTATATTAAATTTATATACTTTAAAAGTTAATTTTTCTTTTAAAATAATTATATTTTTATAAATAATTAAATTATTTAATTTTTAAATAATTTATTAATTTATAATTATAAGGTAAAAAGTTTAAAATTAATAATATTTAATTCTTAAAGAATAAAAAGTTTTAATAGGTATTTAAAATTAAATATAATAAGTATTTAATTTAAATATAAAGTATTATATTAATAAATATTAAAAAATATATATTTTTAAATAAATTAAATAAATAATAAATTATATTACTTTAAGTTTTAATTTATATAAAAGATTTATAGTTAATATTTTTATATTATTTATATTTAAATATAGTATAAAAATTAAAGTTTTTATTTATATTATTTAATTAATTTATAAATTATAAAAGTAATAAAAAAGTAAAAATTATTATTAATAAATTTTATTAATAATAAAAAGCTTTTACTATTTATAATTAAAATAGTTATTTTATATAAACTTAAAAGTAAAAATAAGTTAAAAAAGTATTAAAGTAGATAAGTTTAAATATTATATTTAAAGTTATTTTTATTACTTTTAAGTATTATTACTTTAATTAAAATTTAAATTTAAGTTTAAGTTTATTAAATAAAAATATTAGTTTAATTATAATAATAATATAAATATATTTAACTTTAAAGTTTAATAGCTTTTAAAATTATTAATATAAATATTATATTTTACTTTACTTTTTTATAATATAATAAAATAATATAATATTATTATTATTTAATTATATATAATATAAATTATTTATAATATTAATTTAATACTTTATTTATATAATATTATTATTTAAAGAATATAGAAATACTTTATAAAAGTATTTTTATTAATAAAAGAATATTAATATTAATTAAGTTATTAAATTTATTAAAAATAAATATATTTTAAATTAAATTTTTAATATTATTTATATTATATAATAACTATATTTAATAAAAGAAGTTTTTAATAATTTATTTAAAGGTAATAATTAACTTTTATTAAATAATTATATATTTTTATTTAGATAATTAAAAGGGTTTTAAATTAGTAAATTTTTTATATTAAATTTTAAAAGTTTAAATTAAGTTAATAATTAATTATAGGTTTTATTTTTATAATAAATTAAAATAAAATTAATTAATTTAAAAAATATAATATAATATAATATTATAATATAGAGATTTTTTATTTATATTATTAATTAGTTAACTTTTTAATTTTTTATAAATAATAAATAAAATAAAATATAAAAAGTTTTAAATTTTATTAATTTTATTATTAATATTAAATTAAAATTATTTATAATATTTTAAAAATTAATTATAATAATCTTTAATATGTAGTTTAATAAATATTATAAAGTTATATATAATAAAATTAATATTAAAGTTAGTTTAATTTTATATATTTTATATATTTTAACTATTTTAAATATAAGTAATAAAAGTATTTTTAAAGCTTTAATTTATTAAATTAGCTATTAAAATTATAATATTATATTTAATTATTATTTTTTATTTTTATTTTAAACTTTATATATAATTTTATAAGTTTTAATTTATAATATATTAAAATATATATTATTAAATATATTAAAATAACTTTATTAAATAAATTTTATTATTAAATTTAATTAAAGTTTATTTATTTAGTTTAATAGTAGTAAAAGGAATAAATAACTATAAAGATTAGTATATTTAATATTATTTACTTTTAATAAATATTATTATAAAATTACTTTTATAATTTTAAAATATATTTTTTAGAATTTAATCTTTTTTAAAAGAAATTCTTTAAATATTTTATCTTTTAAAATTTACTTTTATTTTTAAAAGTAGGTTATATTTATTAAAAGGTTAAATAAATATATATTAACTTATTTAAAGAGATTTAATTAATTATAATTAAGAAAGTAATATTTATTATAATTAAAATTTATATTATATTACTTTTAATAAAATAAATTAATAATAAAAATAAAAGAATTATAAATAAATAAAAAAGATTTAACTATATTAAAATATAAAATTACTTTTAATATATATTTTAAATTAAAATAAAAATATATATATAAGTTTTATTTAATAATAAAGATTATTAAAATAATATAAGATTATTATAATAATAATTATAATTATTATATTAATTAAAAGGGTAGAAAGTTATATAAGGTAATTATAGATTTAATAAAGATATTATTATTATTTTTATTATTATAATTATTTTTATTATTATTTTAATAAAAGGTTATTATATAAAAGTTAATAATAATAATAATAATAATATAAATATATTATTATTATTAATTTTATAAAACTAAACTATATTTAAAATAAATTATATAATAATATTTTTTTATTTTATTACTTTTATAAAGGATTTTAAAAGATTTAATAAATAGGTAGTTTAAAGATAAAAAGACTTTAAAAGAATATAAAAGGTTAAATTAATTTTAAAATAAAAGAAATTAATAATATATTTATTATATATATTTTTAATATAAAAGGTTAATTATTATATTAATAAATTAAATAAATTAAATAATAGTTATATTTTAAAATAAATAAATAAAAAAGAGTAAAATATTCTTTATATAATAGTTTAAAAATTATAAAAATAAAAAATTATAAAAATAAAAGGTATTATAAAGTATTAATTATATATTTAATAAATTTTTAATTTAAATTATTATTTAATAAAGTAAATTAATTATTTATAAACTTTTAAATTATTTAATTATTAATATAAATAGTTATTTAATTTACTTTATTTAGAATAAAAGTATTTTACTTATTTTATATTTAACTTTATTCTTTTAAGTTTATAAAATATTAAAAATTAATTAAGTTAATTATTTTAAATTATTATAATTAAATTTTAATTAAATATTATAAAGAAAGAGAATTCTTTTTAAAAGGGTTCATTATAAGTCTTACTTTCCTATTAGTTTTATTATATATCCTTATAATAATAAAATATTATTCTTTTATAGTTTATTTATATAAATAAGATTATTATTTTTATTTTACTTTATTTATTATTACTCTTTTTAAATAATAAATTAAATAATTTTATTATTATTAAGTTTTATATTATAAATAAAAGATTAAAATTATATATATTTTAAATTATTATATTTATTAAATATATTTTAAATATTAATTTAATAATTAAATTATAAATAAATAGAGTTTAAAATCTATTATAAATAATTAAAATAGTATATTTAATTATTATTTTATAAAAAAGGAATAATATATTTTTAAAAGTTACTTTTTTAATACTTTTATAAAATAATATAATTTTATTTTAATTATTTAAAGTAATATTATTTTAATATTTAAAATATAAAAGTTAAACTTTTTTAATATTAAATATATTAAAACTATTTAAATAAAGTTAATTATAAATAAATAATTATTATAAATTTAAATTAAAAAGTAAATATAAAGTTTAAATATTTAATTATAATAAAAAATAAAAAGTAATAACCTAAAGGTAGGTTAATTATAATATTTATTATATAGTTTAATTATTATTTTTTATTTTTAAATAAATAAATATTTTTTTTTTTTTTTATATATTTTTAATTTAATTTAATAATAATTTACTATTAATTAAAGGGAGGAGGGTAAAAAATTTTTCTTCTATTCTATAGGTAAGAGGGGGTTGGAGAAAGGGGCTATTATAAAAAGGGCTTATTTAGGTACTGGCTCGTTACCTGCGGGTTACTTGGGTGACAACCCCACACCAAAAGGGCTGGAATAACCACTACTTACAGCTTGCCGCTTGTCCTTTACACTGCCCTTGTCGCACCCAGCAACTTTTACACCAAAGCCGCAATGGATCGTGCAGCAAACCACTCCACATTGCCCACAGTCGCGGCAAGTAATGTGGATTTCAGTCCAGTCCTCATTACGAACATTGTTGTGGCAGCCATATTCATAGGCATTTGTTTCATCGCGTCGACGTCCAAGCAGACATGGGGCCAATGGAAAACGAAGCTCCTGAGATAGGGCATATATCCACTGGTCAACTCGTCAGCGATGGAATATCGTCAAGAAGCCAAAGCATTGGTAACAAAAGCATTGAAAGACTACGGTGGTAAGCCGTTCGTGGTCGACACTGGCATAGTCCACTTCGTGATTATAGATCCCAAATACGCCACTGAAATTCGGGGCAACCCGAAGCTTGACTCTACGACGCTTTTACAAAAGGTCAGTTGTGCTCTTGGTGGTAAAAGCTTGAGTATATGGTTTCAACCAGCTAATGATTCCTACTTCTGCCGTGACCAGGCCTATCAGGACAAAATTGCCGGGTTCGAGCCATATGAGAGTCTTGGGTCAGACCTGCTGATAACCTTGATTAAATCGCGGTTGAGTCGAAGCATTGGTACAAAGAAGTGATTAGATGAGTATATAACCGCAACGACTGACCATTATGGAAGATTCTGTAGCAAAAGCGTTGGCCAGGGAGACTCGAGACGCGTTCGATTCCATACTCACAAACAATCAAGGCACGTATCCACTGGCCAGGCCCGACTAATACCCTTCTTCATTCGAGCTGACCCGAATGATGAGATTTTCAGATTGGCATGAAGTAAATGTCAGAGATACGCTCAAAGACATTGTAACGCGTGTCTCCTTGCGAGTCTTTCTGGGTCCGGAGCTATGTCGAGATTCGGAATGGCTGCGAATAAGTCGGCTCTATCAGACACAGTCTATGAAAGCCCTCAAGTACCTTCGGCTATTTCCCAAGATCCTCCGACCGATTGTTGGCAAATTCAGCTCAGAATGTCGTCAACTTCGGCAAGTGCTGGCGCAGACCAGACAGCTGACAGACAAGGTGCTGCGAGAGCGGCAGGCCGCCAAGATGCGCGGTCATGAGGTGGAGCACAACGATGCCCTGACATGGGCTGAAGAGATCGCGGAGATGAAGGGGGTTTGTAGCGATGCGGCGACCTGGCAGCTGGCATTATCTACAGTGGCGCTGCACACCAGCAGTGATCTCATCGGCCAGGTCGTGCTAGATCTTTGCGAACATCCCGAGCTCCTGATGCCACTACGCCAGGAGATCCATGACATGATTTCGAAAGACGGCAAAGATGTAACCAATTGCGACTTCTCAAAGGCTGATGTTCAGAGCTTAAGATTGATGGACAGTGTCCTGAAGGAGAGCCAGCGTCTGAAGCCTGTCTCTATCAGTAAGTGGATCAGGCGGCACTCGCTACTCGTTTCAGCTTGTTCTGATACTCTGCAGTATCTATGGGTCGTTGGATCACGGAGGAGATAACCCTTCAAGACGGCACTATCCTTCCCAAAGACCATGCCGTGGCCGTTTCATGCCACTGGATGTGGGATCCCGACAGGTACGAGAAGCCGGAGCTGTTTGATGGATATCGGTTCTACGAGAGGCAAATTGAAAGCGATCGGTCTGCCCAGTTCGTCAGCACGTCGCCAGATCATCTTGGTAGGTGCCAACCATGTGTTGACGCATTCATATTTGAGCACTGATAGGTGAGATCACTAGGATTTGGACACGGGCGTCAAGCCTGCCCCGGTCGCTTTTTCGCTGCCCATTTAGCTAAGGTCATCCTTTGCCATCTTTTGCATGACTATGACTTGAAGAAGATTGAAGAAGGCCCGGTCAAACCGGTGATGTATGGATTTGAGACGAATGTCAACCCGTTGGCGAAAATTGTGATTCGTAGGAGAGGACAAAAAGTGTGAGAGACGGCGTGATAGTCTACAGTATAGTTAGCGGATATTGAAAAGGACCTTGGAACAAATGTCACGAATAGTATATGGCACTCGATCTCGACTGGTATGCATTTCCATGAATTCCTGCAGCTAAGTTACTGAATACTAGGTGGCCGGCCTACTACTAAACCGGGCGGAATGATGGCAGTTCAGGACGATACGAGGAGAAATATTTGTAGCACTATGTGAAGAACGCATCTGTTCATCCAAGACATGTCAATGACAATATACCTAGTACAAGACGCACGTGTGTGCTGGCCGAGCATCGACCCCCTTGCCCACTTTTCTGATGGCAAGCAACAGCAGCTTCCCATTTCCCTATTCATGTGGAATTTCCCAACTAATTACATCAATGCCTGGCGCCTTGGACAGGCCCTGCGAGATGCCTCTCTCTCAATTGGCGCGCTGCCAGCTTGCCCAGCTGCGCGAAGTTTGGCGCGCTCGTCAGCTGCAGCAAGCTCACACTGGTCCCAAATGTCTGCCGCCACCAATTGCGAACTTCTATTGTCATGAGGGAGTCCATCCCAATTGAAGCCAGGGAAAAGCCATGTATGGCACTGTCCACGTCGCTGTGGGCTTCCTCGTCTCGCATCAGAAAGCTCCGGACCCGCCTAAATATTTGACTGGCAAGAAATTCGACACATGAAGGGCTGTCAAGCTGTGTAGGATCCCTGGAAACATGCGATATGAAGTCGTCCAATGCAGCAGCAGAGCCTGTTACCGAGGGACTCTGATCCTCCTGTAGACTCCCCCACGCATGTCCCTTTTGGTCGTCATACAGTGCCATTCGCGCGTCGCCCTTCCACAACACACTGGTGTTGGGATGATCGAGCGGAAGCATGCTACTAAACCCCACGGCCACCTGAGCCTCGGAGGTGTATCGGAAGATAGCCGAGTGAGGTGGGTTGCTGGTGCCGCTGACCTTTGCGTCGTGAAGCGTGATCCTAGTCGTAGATCTAGCGATGGCAAGCTGGATACCGTCCAGAAAGTCCTGTTCGCTGAGCAATCGTACACCAGTCTTCCTCATGGCTTCCAACTTTTCCGGCTGGCGGGACATAATGCCAACGTCTTCGACGACCCCGATATCCATCACAGAACACGCAAGACCGAGGCTTCGCCGATACTGAGCGAAAGCATCAAGGAATGAATTGGCAGCGGCGTAGTTAGCCTGCCCTGGGTTCCCTGTGATGCCAATGATGCTGCCTGCAAGGACAAAGAAATCTAGGTCAGGTGCATGAATGGTGAGGGCGCGATGCAGGTTCCAAGTCCCAGACACCTTCGGATCAATGACTGTCCGCCATGCGTGGAGGTTCAAATCTTTTGTCTCAGTGTCCAAGAGTATCCCCGCGAGGTGGATGACACCTGCAATGCGGTGTGTCTTTGTGATTGCCGAAATGGTGGTTTGGACCGAGCCCTCCTCCACAACATCGAGCTCCAGTGTTATGACTGTACAGCCATTCCCGCGCAGCTCGCAGATAAGTGGCTCGTCCCTTTTGTGGCCTTGTGGACTTCGCATAGACCGAGACAGGAAGAAGATCGTCCTGGCGCCACAGCAGACCATCCATCTTGCTATGGGAGCCGACAATCCTTGCAGGCCCCCAATGAGCACATAGGCATCCGTAGGGGTAAACTTCGCGTTTGGTGTAGAAACACTTGCTGCATTACGCACGTGAGTATCAATCGGGAGGGGTTGTTGGCCTCCAGTGTGCCCAGCAATGTCAACAACAATTTTGCCAATGTTGGTCCCTGTGTACAATGAGCGCATTGCCTCGGTCACACTTTGGTGAGAAATCGTCCGAAGAGGTTCCAGGTGCCTTATCGTGTGATTATTGTAGAGTTGCACCACCTGACGCAGTAATGTCGACACCTCACGAGGATTGTGTACTGCCAAGTGAGCCATGTCCACGGCCACAAAGGCGCGGTTCTCATCAAGAGGCTCCATTGCCAGCTTGCTTCGGCCAACAATATCGCGTTTCCCAAGTTCCACAAACGTACCGCATGGCGCAACGCACTGCCACGATGCATGCAGGAGGTATCCCGATAGGCTGTTCAGCACAACGTCGACCCCACGGTTGCCAGTCGCGGCCAGTATGTCGTGTACGAAGCTGTCGTCTCGAGAATGGAAGATATGATCTCTGGGAATTGCGAACTCCTGTTGCAGGAATCGCACCTTTTCTTCACTGCCAACTGTGGCGTAGACGTCTGCACCAAGCCAACGCGCAACCTGTATAGCAGCAATACCCACTCCGCCTGCAGCGCTGTGTATCAATATTGTCTGGTGGCGCTTCAAGTTGGCCTTGTCGATCAGCGCTCGTAGGACAGTAATGTAGACACATGGCATGCTCGCAGCATGGGTGAATGGTAGGGAGTCGGGAATCGGGACGCACAGGTACTGATGGACCAGCACCGAGACGGCCAGGCATCCGGCATCAGGCGCAAAGAGCATGACACGATCACCCCTTTTGACTTCAGAAACGCAGGCGCCAGTCGCCGTGACTATGCCAGCAGCCTCACAGCCAAGTCGGCCCCAGTGTGCTCGGGTGCTTTCAATGCCCATGGACATCAGGACGTCTTTGAAGTTCAGTCCCGCAGCCTCTATCTTCACTTCCACCATTCCAGGACCGGGTTCTGTATTTTCCAGCACGGGGTCTGGACTTTGAACCCAAACTAGACTGTCGAGCTGTCCAGGATTCCCGATTTGCAAGTACCTGTGCTTCGTCGATGTACCGGCAAGGTGCTGAGAGGCAGCCAGACTCTTTGACACAGAGGTCCACGAAAATCGTGGAACAACAATCCCGCCAGCTTTCGACGCGTAGGCAAACTCCCTATCTGGGTCCAAACCTGCCGAGGGAGAATAGGCGCGAGAAGAAGAGATTAACTTTTCCAGCACCATGGCAGCCGCTTCCATGGCCTGGTCACATGTCGAATCTAACTCTAGAGTCACAAAGTTTAGACCAGTTTCTTTCCGCACGCTTCGTGCGAAGCCGAGTATCTGCGCGAAGATGGGGTCAACAGGATCGACCTGACAAGCCCCCGTCAGCCATAACAGTGTCGACTCAGACTGCTGAAGGCCGTTCAGTAGCTCGAGAAGTACGTCTAGCCTCGCCTGTGAGACGTTGGCGAGAAACGATCCACTTGGCGATATATCCAGCAGCGACACTACGTGCCCCGGCTTTATTCCCGCTGAATTTCCTGGTTGGAGTTGGTGGCGTGTTGATTTGAACCCACGTTGATGGACAAATCTCTCCAAGATCTCAATCGTGCGAAGGGATGTGTGATCTAAGTCATCGTGAAGTAAGGTGATGCTGACCAAAGAGCTTTCTGCGGATCCCATTTGAGGAACTTCGGGCCTCGCTATCATAGTAGCATTGATTTGGTATGGTTTATCAGCATCCAGGGCGAGAGTATCGAGGGGCTTGAAAGACGCTTGTCGAAGCCGTTCGTCCCATACCTGATGATCAAGGTAGGGTTCTTGGACTCGGCCGTCAGATGCACCAAGCCACCACCCAGAAAGAAACCCCATAATCAGATTGATCCACTTGAAGTCTGAAGAACATATTAGTATCTCTGGTTTCATGCTTCAATGATCGGAATATGGTCAAAATTTACCGCAAGCCAGCTCTTGGAGCAAAAGGCGACCGTTGGGCTTCAGCAGAGATCTGACATGGCGGAGCGTCTTTGTCAAGTCTTCAGTGGCGTGGAGTACCTTTTATGATGGGGTCAGCATTAGATACGATCGAGACGTGATATGAAGACACAAGCTCCAAGTATCAATCGCTTTGATTGAAACCGCCCAGAGCCGTGGTATCCCACGTAGAGACAGCCATTACACTCACATTGCTGGCAATCACCAGATCGTACTCAGCGCTGAAGCCTTGCGTAAGCGGGTCCAGCGAGATGTCTAATACGCGATACTCCATGCCGCGAACTTTCTGAAACCGAGCCTTCGCAGAAGGGAAGAATCCGGATGATATGTCTGTGAAGACATAGCTACCATCCCACTGAGCGTCAGACCCTGTTTCACGTGGCCTGAGGTGCTCAAGTACACGCGCGGTGAGACCTCCAGTACCCGCGCCGACCTCGATGATTCGGAGGTGCTTGCCGTACTTGTGTGCCAGGAGCTCGAAGAATCCTTCATATGACCAGAGAGAATTCATCCAGTCATAAAGTCGATGCAAGGCGTTATCCTCCAGAAATAGCTCAAGGGGGCTGACGGTCCCGTTGAATATTTCACGTGCATTGGAGGCGCACCTGGACAATAACTCGGCGGCAGCGGATCCGGGGGAGTTTTTGAGAGCTTCCATCAGCTTTTGCTTTTCCTTGTGAATGTCCTCCTTTGTGAGGTTGACTTGATCTTCGTGACCGTGAGGGTGTTCTTCCAACCAGTGCGCCAGTTTGCACAAGTGGGCTCGATTTGGATCATTCAGGATCCCAGCCGGAGCCATCAATGCTGATGTCCGTACTTCAGCCGCACAAATGGTGAACAAAGCATCAATAAGCTTTTGGACATTCTCATGCTCTGGGCCTGATCGCGGAATCAACAGTTGAGTCTCCCTCATGAAGTCGATGTCTGGCTTCCAGACCAACTGCATAGCGCCATGAGATTGTTCGTGATGGGAGATTGGGCCGGACTCTTCCAGTATTATCGGGTCGAATTGCAGGCCCTTAATTGTCGCAACTGGGCGCGACTCGAGCGAAGCTAGATCGTCTGTTGGGCAAGACATAGAGCGGGCCACCATGGATCCACGACAGGAGCCATTCCCCTTAGACCCCGTAACAACGGCATGCACATCCAGGAGACTTTTATCCTGCGACTCCAGCGGCGCTGATCCCACGCTGAACTCCTCGATCCAAGTTGGCAACGACACTTGTCGGAGTAATCTGGGCTGCCCTCTGTGATTTGCGACGATAAGTGACTGGATGATCTTATCTAGCATCGTCGGGTGAAACGTGTAGGAGTTTGAAGTTATCGTCGAAGGAATCACTCTGGAATCATGTGAGAGCCTCAACTTTGCCGATTTACAGACGACATTTGCGATTATGTTCTGCATGCCCCTGAAAGCTGTGCCGTAATTGTAGCCTATTCTTGCCATGGCCCGGTACCTGTGGTACGCGCTTGTTGTCAGTTTCATGTCGTGGACAAGTGTGTTCATGAGGCATAATAGTGCCGACTGTCTGAAAGTGAAGGTCACTTACCACGATGCGGCGTCAACCTCGCGAACGAAGCCATCTCGTTGTTCCGGAAGTTCCATATCTAGTAAAGATGATCTCAAAATGTTCGAGTCTGTCGTAGGCTTGACGAGACCGGTACAATGCATGGTCCACGTGCCGTCGTGATATGACGAAAAGGAGATCTCCCAAACATTGGAGGCGGAGTCTGGATGCACTTGTGAGCGCGCTGATGTGACTACCTCGACGGTGGCTCCAGCATTCAACACCAATGCTTTCTTCAATGAAAGCTCTTTGACCATATACGCCCTAACACCTGTAAGCTGGAATGACGCCTCACCCGCCATAGCAATGAACCCAGCAGCGGGGAAAACGATATCACTCCCAATCCTATGGTGTTTGATCCATGGAATCTTGTCGACAGACAGGTTGCTGCGCCACATGGGTGATGTGCCGCTGTCGTCAAAATTCCGTACACCAAGCAGCTCATGCGGGGGGAATTGACGTAATCTCCATGTTTTGGCTGCGCGAGATGTCGGCCAATAGTGCTTGGATAAATCCCAAGGGTAGGGCTCGAGGTCCACCAGAGGTTTCAAGTTCCCAATGGGATGAATGGGAACTCCATGGGAATGCAACTCCCCAAGAGCAACGAGGAATGTGATAGTGGCTGATTGTCCACAGACCAGGGTGGGGACGTATGTTGGGCGCAGTCCTGCCTCAGCATAAGCCTGTTCCAAATGCTCAGCGGCGGACGAATCTGGCCCTATGATGAGCTGGATCGACCCAGGCGCTTTTACCAGAAGTTCTTTTACTTCCTGACTGAAGTCGACAGCGCTTGGCTCGCGCAAAGAATGGTGATCAGAGTCGGTGTACAGGGGCTTAGCGAAATTCTGGCCAAGGGCGGCCGGGCCAGTCGGCAAGGCTGCTTCGATTTTCCGTGTATCCATCTTCAAGGCGTCCTGTGGCGATGAGAGATGGTTCTTGGGTAAAGACTTGCTCGTGTGTAACGCAAGACAAATGGCCGCTTCAACACTGAGAAGACCAGAAGCATGATCCGCCGCAACTTTGCCACTCGAGCATCCCGCGACAACATCTGGCCGGACGCCGTAACGACCCAAAAGTCTGGTCAAAGCAATTTGTATCGCCGTCAAAACAGTGGACCCAATCTCGGATTCTCCAAGGCGAGACCTTTCCGCTGTCTTGACCATTTCAGCCCGGACGGTCCACGAGGGCTTAGCAACTGGTGGTAACTGTTGAAGAGCGTCGTCCATCAATTTGATGTCATACGCGAAGGACTTGTCAAATCTCAGTAGCTCCACGCCAATACGAGCCCACTGTTGACCGGGTCCGGAGAAAATGAAAGCTATCGGAACAGACAACGCCGGCCGTGAGCGGATGTGTGAGCCAAGTGGTGAACTAGACTTGACTGAGCAAACCCTTCGACTTTCATCAAAAACGCAGTAATTCTTGTAGGGGAGTTTGATCCGCATACGATTGACAGCGTGTGCTAGTCTTTCCAGCCTCTGAGGCTGCTTTTTACAGTAGGCCTTGTGCAGTTCCATTGAGCGCGCCAAGGCAGCCTGAGAGGCAGCAGAAAAGAGGATAATCGTTGGCTTGGCTTTGGCTTTCGAAAGAACTGCGGCTTCGTCGTGTTCCGCCTGGAACGTGTTGGATGAAGGCTCCTGTGGGCGGAGCGAACTGGCGGAATCCAGAATGATCTAAAATTTCAAAATGCTGTAAGCCAAGCTGATATGACTTTTCTGTCAAAGAGATACGGTCATAACGCCATCGTCCAAATGAGAGGCTTACATAGACATTTGTTCCACCTATTCCAAAACTCGAAATCCCGATTCGCTCTAATCGATCAGTCGGCCATGGCATAGGCGTCGTGGGCACTGTCAAATTTCCAGCGTTGAAAGGAACTAGAAGCTGCGGTCAGTATCAGAACCAAAGGCATCTTCATGATGTTTCCAATCTTCGATGAGAGGCCAAGGAGACATGTCTACTAACTCTGAGAATTAGGGTCCTCGAATTTAATGTTGGGGAGGATCACCCGGTTTTCCAGTGACACTATAGCTTTGATGACGCTGGTGAGTGCAGAGGCAGCTTCGGAATGGCCAAGAGACGGCTTAACAGAGCCAATTAACACGCCATGTTGCCCGAATATCTTTGCCACTGCATAGGTCTCGACTGCATCACCTACAGGTGTGCCTGTTCCATGGCACTCGACCATTGCTGTTTTGACCATGTCTTGGTCGGAAATGCCACCCTGACGGTATGCAGCTCTCATGAGCGCCTCTTGGGCCTCCGAGCTCGGTGTGGACATGCCAGCCGTCCTTCCGTTCGCATTGACTGCGGATCCACGGATAACGGCACGTATTGGGTTGCCATCTGCGACCGCAAGACTTTGGCGCTTCAGAATCAAGCAATTCACAGCTTCTGCGCGGGCGTATCCGGATGCCTTGGCATCAAACGTGCGGCAAGACGCGTCCGGTGATAGAACACCGTGCTCGGCGAGGAACACGGCGAGATCGGGCGAGAAAATGAGGTTCGACCCGGCCACGACGGCGGTGTCACACTCGCCAGCCTTGATAGCCTGGCATGCCAAGTGCAGTGCAAGCCCGCCAGCGGCACAGGCAGCACGAACCGTCATGCTTGGACCGCCAAATCCAAAACAGTTTGACACGCGATTTGACAGCGAAAAGTCCCCGTACCCTGCCAGACGATACTGGGGAATATCGAGGGAGTCTCTGGTGTGCATTTCGCGCCAGTCGTCGCCAAAGGACCCCACGTAGCACCCGATTCTGTCGGCTTTCGCTTTGTCCATTCGCCACTGAGTCTCACACGCGCTTTCCATGGCCTCCCAGACGACTCGAAGAAGGATTCTTTGCTGTGGGTCCATTTTTTCCACCTCGGGCTGGCTCATAACGAGGCCTATTGCCGAGAATGGTGATGGATCCCAGCCAGTGATCTCCTCCCAACTCAGCCAGTAACCTTCGGACGGCAATGTGTGCGTGTGGCCATCACTTCCGCTATATTTAAAAGAGTCGTATTCGTAGCGTTTCGTGTCTGGAAGTCCCCTTGCGTCTCCTCCGGACAGTAGGAAGTCGAAAAGCGCGGACGGCGTGTTGATCCCGCCAGGCAGTCTAAGGCCCAATCCACAAATGGCAACTGCCGTGTCATTTTGCGTGCTTGATTCAGCCATGCTCCTGTTATGAATTGATGCAGTGGTTTGTATGATGAATATAGATGCTTCTTTTCTCCCCAATCTTTGTTCAGATTTTTTTATTATACATCTCGTAGCACTTGAGTATCGTGAAAATGGCCAGAGCCAAACCTAATTGCCCCACTTAGGAATCCCGGACCGTTGATCGAAGCTACATGGAGGTGCCCATATTGCGTTGCCCGGTGCGTTGTAGAATTTTTGAGGAAGCTGTTCAATGAATAAAAGTCCCAAAAACTCCTTGTCTTCTGTTTTTGATTATTATTTTGAATGACATGATTATGATGTCTCTATTTGCCAGGCAGCTGAGCACTACCAAACAAGACTACTCCATGACTCCATACCAGGATCAACACTCTGAAGAATATGAACGCCAGGACAGTGACTGTCACTGGCAGCGGGAAGTCTCGGACTCTTCTACTCTCCTTAATCGGCCAAGGCCCCTCGGCAGAGAGAATTGGTGTCTGAAGGCGAGCGTCATACTACTAGGGGCTTCTGCGGTCTTGTTAGGGATATATGCTGCGCTCGCGCGAGCACAGGTGGTTCGCCTGACAAGAGAATCTCACGAATGGGGTGGAAAGCTTGGTGAGGATCCGAGCGAATTCGTACCACAAGGTAGGTAGCAGATAGAGTAGCCAGGTTGCTGCGTCAAACCTGCTTCCATGTCCCAGTTGCTGATCTCTCCAATAATGCAGATATTGGCGGCCCTCTCCAGCTTACCTACTTCGATGAGAATCACCCCTATCATATGCCAGAGGACGTATTTGAGTCCTTCGATCATTCGATGAAATTGATCCGGAGAATCTGGTCTATGCACAACTGTGAGCGTACTCGAGTCTGTTGAAGCTTCCTTGGGACTGAATTCTAGACACAGCATCAAATGTTCTCGCCAACCGCCAATATGCCAAATGGTATCACCCAGATGGTAGTGTGTCTGGGCTTGCACCTTTCTTCTCGTGGATATCAACGAGGCAAATGTATACGTTACGAGGATTCCATCAATTGACCTGTGTCCTCGTCATCGCCGAGGCATACACGCACCGGGTGCACACCAACACGACTTCGAGGTGGGGCCACCGACACGTCGCCCACTGTCTGAACACTCTTCGTGACGCTGTCATGTGTATGGCAGATGCGACCCCAATGAGCTTCGTCGATGGCTTCCAGATGAGCTACGTCACAGACAACCAGGCTCACATGTGCCGAGATTGGGAAGGACTAAGGGCATGGGCTAATGCCCCCGAGAGAGGGGTTAGAACTCGGGTAACGGATACAGAGGCAGGAAATGATCTTGAGCCGGGCGCCTTGTTCGATTTCGAGTATCAGACCGAGATTATACCTTTTCCAGACCTGACAGAGCAGGAGAGAGTGGGCTTGGCTTAACGTTCTCACGGAAACCAGCAGCGAAATCTCGGTTTCCATTCTTTACCCAGAGACATTTAGAACCATCTTCCGAGTCTGTTTGTACAACTACATGTACATGTTGTTCATATTTCTACGGGGATGAGTAACGAATTCCTGTCAAGGACCGCTACGAAAATATTTCAAGTCGGGTCTCTGGTATGAGCAACGTGCCTGACCCATTAATGAGCCATACAAGCTAGCCAAATTAGCAAGGATCACCGATTTAGTTTCTGAAATCGTGAGTCCTGACCGTGAAATTCTATGACTTCATTTCATGTAGTGATCTAGAGCTGTCCTAGCCAACATTTTAAGTAGACATCCTCGTGATCGATTCTACATTGCGTCTACCAGACAGTCATTATCATAGGGCTGATAGATTCTAGTGACATTGGGGGCCTCAATCTCCCAACCGAAAGGCACAGCATTTAAATATGTGCAGTGGTCGACGTGTGACGCATTCCTACTATATGCGTCGAGCACCTTGGGTATCCTTGCCTCAGCAAACCGCTGTCTGTCCCACACGTAGCTGCAGTGTAGATGATGCTGACTTCCCTGAGCCCAGAGGAAGCCGTGTTCGCCAGATTCTGCCTCCTCATATGACACCTCGTTCACCATCTCCGGCTCTCGCCAAAACGTCACATTGCGCCACGCCATCCAACCTCTGTATTTAGCATACAATTCGACGGTGGCACATGCAGGATGCACCCAGGAGGACAGCATGAGGTCGTAGATGCAGCCTTGTGCTTTAGCCTCTTCCCACTTCTCGTGAGGACATGGAGGACCGAGGGGTAAAAGCTGCGGGTTTCGGAGAGGCCTGTCCGTTGGCGACGTGACCAAAGGCGAAGATGATGCAGTTTGCGCAGTAGTGGAGGGAAAGACGACTTGGCTCAGGCGGCCAAGATAAAAGACACCAGCGACACCAAATATGAGTGTCAAGGTGCTAAAAACCCTCCGAAATCGTCGCTTCTTTTTTTGATCGGCTTGGAGATATTTCGGAACCTCCTCGTCTTCTCGAAGTAGTGAGACCTCTTCCAGGCCGCATGAGGCTGTTCTCGTGTTCATCTTTTCTCTATCGACGTGCCTTTCATCCTGCCCATTCGACCATTCTACTCAGAAATTCATTATTCGTGCTGTTAACAAAATTGCCTGGTAATACCAGTTGCTCCCCCTTCCTCTTTCAACATCATTGACACAAGGTTCACATCTGAACCTTCTAACCTACGCGCCGAACTTGTAGGTTAGCTTTCGGTCTAGACCTTGCTCAAAAGGGACCGGGGGAACACCGATGGCAGCCGCCAGCCGGATCGACGGCACACCTAGGCACATATAAATGTTTTAGGTTCAGAGTCAAGGAAATCGAACGCGTTCTAGACTTGGGGAAGAGGAGAATCTCGATTGGACTCTCGGAAAGCATGGTGAAAGTTGGACTCTCGGACAGCATGGTCAAACTTCGACTCACGGAAAGCATGGTCAAAAGTCAATGGATATTTAAGCTCAGATGATACCTTGTTGGCCAAAGAAAGTTTCTGTGCGCATCACCTTGTGTTCCAGTGATCCAGAGGAGGTCTACATCATTTTGGCATTAGTGAACTGACCACCCGAACGCTGTAGTGACCCAACCGCCCTGTGATACCGCGACAACAGCCGTTGCTGAATTGGACGTGTACAGTTTTGAGACAGGTATCATTCTCCTGTCACAATATGTCAAATCCCAATCCCCTTCTCATTCAAGATGATCCAGCGTGTGGCCCGCTGCAAGGTGAAACGCATCCATTCTTCCTGATCCACGACGCGAGCGGATTAGTTTCAAGCTACCTGAAATTGGGTCCACTTGGAACACGTGTATACGCGCTTCATGACCCAAAGTTCGAAAATAATGGCCACTGCGGCTGGCAGAGCGTACGAGATATGGCGCTGCATTACATAACGTTGATCAGGCGCCGGCATAGCCGTGGCCAGATCATTATTGGTGGTAGGCTAATGTTCCCTTGCAAATGCTCGGCACAGGCGTCCTCGGCTAACAAAGTTTTATCCGCACATGAAGGATGGTCGTTCGGAGGCATTGTCGCTGTTGAGATTGCCCGCACGCTTGCCGTACAAGGCAGGGGGCTGACAGTATCCAAAGTGATCTTGTTGGACACCGTGTACCCCCGATGTGAAAGACCCGAGGCGACCAAAGAGAATACTGCGCAATATGTCACGGGTATCGAAGGGTTGAGCCCCCAAACCAGAAATAGGCTAGAGACAGCCCTCGTCCGCGCAACCTGCCTGGCAGACCGCTGGATCGTTCCACAATGGACGTTGCCAAGACAGTTGCACGAACCACTCGCAAAGGGCAGCCCACTCCCCGGTCAACTCCCTATGCCGCCACCCGTTATATTGATCAGAGCAAGGGACAAGGTAGGAATGGTTGACGAAAATGAAAAGTGTGTCCTTGACAGGACAAGGTTCTTGCCCCAGCTTGGCTGGGAGGATTTGCACCCGGATTTCATTTCTGCGGTCATCAAGGTCAATGGAAATCACTACACACTCTTCGACGAATTATATGTGAGTCAAAGACCCTGCAAATATATGTTCACCATCATCTGTCTGTCCTTGACCACAGAAAAAAGCCGACCACCCGTCAGATCTTGTTGTCGCGGTACTAACCATTGTAACCGCTTTCTAAGGTTGACGAGACTACGAAGGCCCTGAAGAAGGCCATGCGGATGGTAAATTAGAATGTTGATGTGTGCAAGATATGGTGATGAATCTACTTGAAATAATCAGCTTCAAAAGGATTCGGAATAACTCTATGTATGATTATTAGAAGTAAGACAACGTGAATGAATGTGATCGTGTCTGACTGCATGCTCACCTCACTTGAGTGCCGCGGATTAACACACCTAGGTATCAGTGTTGTTCGACTACTGAGGAGGACATGTTACTGGGGGGCACCCAATGCTGGCTGGCTCATGTCATCTCAGCCTCAATCTGGCGAATCGATCTAAGGTCTATAAGTACCCATGGCGATTAGAAACGAAACCACGTAATGATAATCGCTCAAATCTGTGACCCTATTTACCATGCTCCACGTTTCCTGGCTGATATCTTCTGGGTATCGGTTTCCAAACGCCGCTATCTGGTAATCCTGAACTCTTCATTGCCGAGATGTATTCCGCCTTTGAATCGATGGCAATCGGAAGCTGTGACAAACCCCAGTCTGGGGAGACATATAAGGTTTATCCAGCCCGGGACCCGGCGCTCAAAATTCTGAAAGCTTGCACTCAACTGCAAGGGGGAATGCCATGCCCATTCATCCAGCCAAATACTTCCGTGCCACGTATCGATCACATATTTATCCAAGATAGATGAATATTACCCGGTCACGACATCGTCTACTTGCATCAAGTGCAATAACAGCTGTGATCAAGATCACAAAGCACAATGGCGACTAGCACCAATGCCAAAGTCAGCTGGATGTCGCTACCGAGGAAGGACCAGTTATTTGTGCTGTGCTTGATGCGCTTTGCAGAACCCGTTGTCAGTGCTTCAATCGGTGTAAGCATCCACACCCTGACGGCTGATCTATGAATTCTTGGAACTCGATACTCATCGGAAACGAAACAGACCTACCTGTATTATCAACTTCAGTCACTGGATCTTACCCTGACATCGGCTGAGGTGATTCGGCAAGTGTCGATTTTGAAATCGGCCTTCACTCTCTCCCAGTGCATCTCGATTCTGTTTATTGGCAAAATCGCAGACTCGTCTTGGGGCGGGAGGAAGCTTGCGTTGCTTATTGGGACACTCATTGCCTGTGAGTCTCCCTGTTTGTCCTCTGACTGCAATAGTAGGTTGTGTCAGCAACCAGGTGACCTGATCCTTATTGCACGGTGATGCTTACAGATACTCCTAGTCATTACAGCCACGGCATTTGGATTCATTCGCAATTTCCATCAGGCTCTTGCACTCCGGGTTATAGAGGGCCTCCTCAATGGCAACATTGCAGTTATGAGGACCATGGTGTCAGAGGTTGTGCAAGACAAGCGGTATGAATTATGTGACAAATATTACAAAAGCTGCCAAAACTTGTAGAAATTGTGCCGCTTACTCGCATATTAAACAGATATCAAGCAAGGGCATTTGTGCTACTTCCCATTTCTTTTAATTTTGCGGTCATGCTCAGTCCCCTCATGGCAGGGCAGCTGGCCGACCTGCCTGGTAGATTCCCGGAAAGGTTCGGCCACGATCCCTTTTTGAAGAAGTACCCATTCGCGCCACCGGCTTTGTTAAATGGTTCCATACTCTGCATTTCTTTTCTCAGTGCTTTCTTTTTCCTCGAAGAGGTTCGTATTCTCCGCCCCCGAGCAGAGCGCCCGAATCATTGGCTTGCCGCTGACTCGAGGGCCGTTTTTTCTACTCCAACAGACTTTGGGCCCTTGTCGTGGTCGCTACGATCCTGGAATCGCGATTTCTAAAAAAGTCCGTTCTCTGTTCAGCTGCTCCGATGTGAAATACAGTAGGGTTGCGAGCGGCTTGGCAGAACAAGAAGAGATGGAGCCAATGGTCGGGCCCGAGAGTCCCGGCATCCCGGCGAAGCATCTCGAAACGGCGCAAAAGGTCAACTTTCTCCCGTTCCGGAGAATATTCACCCGTAACCTGGCATTGACCCTATTGTGCTACACCATCTTGGAGACGCACACGGCGGCATACAACAGTCTATGGCCTAGCTTCCTCAGCGATCCTGTTGCCTCGGTGGAAGAACGACGGAAGTGGAGGCTACCGTTCTTCTTCTCCGGTGGAGCCGGCATGGCCACAGATAAGATAGGTTGGACCCTAGCAATCCTTGGCGGTGTCGGTCTTCCAGCCCAACTGCTCTTGTTCCCCCGCGTTCAACAACGCCTGGGCAATATCAGGACCTTGCGCTTCTTCATGCTTGGCTTTCCTATAGTTCATGCTCTCGTTCCATACATTGCAGTCGTTCCCTCATCAACACCACCACCAGGGGGGAAGAGTGGGCCGTATGTCTGGGCCTTGATAGTACTAGTACAGACTATCCTGATGTCATGTGCTGTGTTTGTGATGCCTACACAGGTGATGCTCGTTAATAGGTAAGCTTCACTTCCCGTTGCCGGAGTCGAAATAGCTGACAAAATCTACTTCAGTGCCAGCCCGCACCCCTCAGCCCGTGCAAGGACACACACTATTTCAGTGCTTACGACGAGTATATGCGGCAGTGCCGCTGCAGCCGGTTACGGGTATTTATACAGCTACGGGTCAACGCATAACTTGACAGGCTTGGCATGTTGGACAGCAATGTTCGTTTCTATATTTGGGTGTGTTGTGAGCTTGCTCCTACGAGAAGGTAATGGTCATGAAATTTGGCTAGAGGGCGACACGGAGGAGTGAGGCGGTTGCTGTAATCCAAACTCAAGTGCTCGGCAAGTGTGGCAAATTGAGGTCCATCACAACTGAGCTATGCATGGACTTCTTCGTTCTAGTGCCGCCAATTTTGCAAGCATTGCTACTGCGAGAAGAGGGAGTCGACCATTCACAAATTACTTGTGTCGGGAGACGCGTGAAAATCACCCAGACGAGCCCCCGTACGATATCGCCTTTGACGGCCCTCTTTGATCCCGTTACGTTGGTCCTATGACTTTTCTTCCAAGACTCGCGGTTACCCTCCGCGTGTCTGCCGACCATTGTAATTGACCGCGGACATCTTCGGAAGTCTAATATTTAGTTAAACTCTACCGAAATTCATAGCACTCCTTGCCCCTCTTCCCGCTGTGAAGAAATGATTAAAACTACACATTATTTGAGTCTGCAGCATCTTTTTATTTCACTGGTTCACTTTACCCAATACACATCTTGAATATTTCACCTGTTGACTTAGAAGATTTGAAGATCACCCTTACCAGATAGAATCGCACTATCTCCATTGCCGTCGACTCTGTCAACCACGATGGGCAGCGTTTCAAGCTTGGACGACGCGCAAAAATACGAAATTGAGCACTATGGCGACCATCGTGTTAAATACCCTGCGTCACTATGGGCGCTGCTCGTTGCGTACCACCAAGGACCATTGCGTTCAGCACATGATATTGGCGCCGGGTACGGGAATGGAATAGAAGGCTTGCTTTCTTTCCTGCAGGGAGGTGACTGCAGCGTGACTCATGCTATTCTTACGGAGCCCAAGGGCTTTCTCCTTGAAGCGGCACGTGCCCGGCTCCCAGACTTGTTCCCCGAAATCATGTTCGGATACCGGAACAAGAGGGGCGAAGATGCCTGGGATGGATATCTGGGACTCGAGAATGGGCAGCTTGATCTGGTCATGTCGTGTGAGGCAATTCATTGGACGGATCTAGCTCCCACGCTGGCCAATATCAACGATAGTCTGAGGCCTGGGGGCACGTTCAGCGCGGTGCTCTATTCTCCGCTTCCGCAGGTTGTCGGAAATATGCCCGCAACGGAGTCTCTGCGACGTCTTGTTGAGAGCCACGTGGACAAGCTGATCTCGGAGGGCTGGATGGACGAGGGATGGAAGCGTTGCATGGTGAATGACACTCAATCGGTTAATTCATGTTTCGTACAAGCTGACGTAAAATGTGCATTAGGGTCAATTATATTCAGGCCTGGCTTCTCTGCCGCTGATTGATGAACAATGGACGGACGTCAAGCTCGTGGAGATTAACAATGTCGAGGGTTGGTGGTGCCCATCTGCTTATAAACCAAACAAATCCTCTCACGAAGTATGGCCCGCAAGCGGATCCCGCAGCAGGTCTAGTCCGGCGGCATGCATACCTAAAGAGCGAATCGTGGTGCCCGTCGACACTAACTGGCGGCGCAATGATGCCTCGCCTGAGTGGTTAAAGCAGATGTTACTGTCATTCAGGCTGAATTTCTCTGATTCTAGCTGGGCTTCAAATGAGTGGCGCCATCTAGAGCAAATGCTGTCTGGCACAGATGTGCAGCTCGAATGGGCAGTCCATGTCGTCCTGGCTAGGAAGATGTAAGGGACTTTTCTGCAGTCGGATGGGAGGGACATGACAGAATATACGAATTTGGGAGGCAATCAAATTGGGCACAGTGAGGAATCCTGTCTAAATAAGTCGTGCTTTTTCTTTTAAGTGATCTTTCCAAGATCTTGCGCAAGCTGCGAGGAGAGGACTACGTATGGTCAACCTCGTGGACCTACTAAGAGGTCATGCTCAAGTATTTTCAAACTGCTATACCGATGACAAGTATACCTCAGAGTAACCAGCGTGCGCCTAGGGGGGATTCCGTAGCTAGGTGAACTTTTATGGATGAGACCTGCCTGAGGAATTGCGCCTTGCTTGTAAAAATGTTGTTCTCTCTTGTATTCCTAGGAGACAAACAATCGTTTTGCAAAGGTTTTGATTATGGCAAAATGTCAGGTCCGACAAGGCACTGGCACTGGTCAATCGCGACAATACACAGTTGACCATCGATGGGGAATATGGTGACATCGATCGAACTATCAGCAAAATATTGCACGCAAAGTTACAGCCTCTTGGTCATGTGGCAATCGGTATTGAGCAAACGTAGCATGCTCATCCCCTGTCTTGGACTTTGTCACCATGAGAGACATGTGATTCCCTCCTCTTCACAGGGGTAATACGGGTGTACCTGATACTGGTCAGTACATTTGCGCGTGTTAGTTGTTGCCACCTTGGTACTTACAATTGGGGCATATTCAGGGAACGGGGTGACATGTGTGGTGATGTCATACAAGTCCGCGGGCGGATTCTCCCTGTCCATTTCTATATGTCAGTGTGCGGACATGTAAACCACCAGATTCTGCAACGAAGAATCGCCGTCACGCACATTATGGTGTCCACCAGATACGCTGTGCAATGCAGCGTATGATTGTAGTTAAACGGCACGTCCCAACCTTTGGTGACCCACAGGTGAGTCTGACGCAGGGCATATTTGCAGTGGATAATGTGTTCCCTTCTGGTGAGATATGCGGACGTAAGAACAAGGTTGTCTGCGGGTATTGGGTATTTGCCTTCCTTGTCCAGGTATCGAAGCCATGGACCATGGTCCTCAAACTCGCGGAGGATAGCGACGTTGTCCTTGTCCTCTGTATGCTCTTTCGGGAACCAGTGGAATGAGAGGCCATCAAACTCGCAGCCTCTGTCTCGCGCGACCTCTGGTATTGCGCCGTTTGGTGCACAGATGTAGCCTGACACATCCAGGGGGTGTCTTGGTCGCTGGAGTTTCCACATGAGCGCGGCAGTGGTAGCAATCCAAAACAAAGTGAGCGTGGCCGAGACTGTCTTCCAATAATTGCGACGACCTGTGAATGCTTTCAGCCAAGGGTATGTCGTCTTGCTGGCCTCCGGGAGAGCTGCAGAGTCGCTGTCTCGGAAAAATGAGAGTTAGCCCCCCCCCTACAAAATACCCCCTATTCCTTAGCTAAACTAAAACTTTACTAATAGAGTAGAAAACCTAACATTCTTACTAAAATATCTATATTAACCTTATTAATACTAATAATAAATTATTTTTATTACTTAATTAAAAAAAAATAATACTATATTAATTTTATATAATTAATTTAAGCTTAATTTATAAAGGTATATATAATTTATTTACTCTAATATAAAGTAATATTAGCTTAGTTAATACTATAAATAATATATTTTAATTAATCTATTAAGTTTAAACTATTTAATATTTATTATATAAGATTTATTTAAAAGTTAAATTATATAATTTATTAATAAAATATTATACTATTTAAATAATTATATATTTAAAAGCTAACTATTAAAGTAATTAAGGTTTAATAAATTACTTAAAAGTATTTATAAATACCCTTAAAGACTATTTAAAATAAAACTATTATAATAAATTAAATAGTTTAAAAATATAAAAATACTATTAAAGTTAATAATAAAGAAAATATATTTAATAATAAAGAAAAGAAGGCTTTAAAAGTACTAATAATAAAGACCCTTTATTAATAAAGTAAGGTTTTAATAAATAATAATAATAATAATATTAAATATTTTAAAAGTTATTTAATTAACCTTTTAATATAAATATATTTAAATAAATTAACCTTAATTTTATTTATTAAAATCTATAACCTAAAAGTTAATACTACTTTTATTATATAATTTAAAAATAAACTATTATATTAAGGGAGGAGGATAAGGGTTAAAATTTAAAGCCTTTTATTAAATTATATTAATTTATTTAAAAATTTAATTAAAAAAATATAAAAACTATTTAAATATAATTATTAAGTTAAGAAATATTTTTATTAAAGTTAATTAATTTATAAATTAAAAGTTTTAACTTTATAATTAAAAATTATAAAAAATATTAATAAAAGGATTAAAATACTTAATTATAATAATATTATAAATACACTTTTTAAATTCTAAAACCCTTCTTTTTAATTCTTATATAATTATAAAGTTATATTATTAATATAAAAGTTATAAATACTTATATTATAAAATAATTATTTAATTAAATATCTATTAATTAAAGTCTTTTAATTATTACTAACTATTTAATAAATAGCTTTTTAAAAATAGTTTATTAATAATTAAATAAATAGTAAACTTAAATATATCTAATAAAAATTTAAATTTTAAAACTTTTAATTTATATTAATAACTATTAAATAAAGGGTTAAAATAAAAATAAAAATAAATCTTATATAAAAAATATAAATAATTAATAAAAATATAATTATATTTTTAAATAATTATTATAAGGCTAATTATTATTATTAAAATAAGGAAGTTTTTATAATAATAGTATTTTATTAAATAAAATAATATATATATTAATTTATTTAATAAAGATTTAAGGAATTAATTTAATATAATTATAATAAATAATATTATAATTAAATATTTATTAAAAGTTTTTTTAATTACTAAATAGTTTAAATAAAACCTAATAAAGAAAAGCCTAATAATAATAAAGTTAGCCTTATCTCTTTTAAAAAAGTAGTAAAAATAAAAGTAAAAAGAATAATATTAATATAATTATTAATTTATTATTTAATATTAATTTATTTAAAGTTAAATATAATTAAATAGTTTTAATAAAGCTATTATTACTATTATTACTATTAGCTTCTTTTATAAGTTTAATAAAATCTTACTACTATTAATAATAATAATAATAATATTTAAAAACTTATTATAAAAATAAAAACTACTAATTATTCTTTTATTATTACTATTATAAATAAAAAGAAATAAAATAGTTTTATATTAAAATTTATTATAAAAGTATTTTAAAAATACTTTAAGGATTTATTAAAAAAGTTTAACTTAAATAATTTATAAAATTATAAAATATAAAAGGCTTAACCTTTATAAACTCTATAAAAGAAGGATATTTAATTTAATAAATATAATCTAAAAACTATCTTACTAATTAAAATACTAATTAAATTATATTTAAAAAAAAAAACTTTACTAATTTATTTAATAATAATAATAATAAAAGAATTTATTATTATAATAAAAGTTATTAAATAACTATTTAATAAATTATTAAATAAATATTAAAAGTATATACTTTATAAAGTCTATAAAGGTTACCTAATTAATTAATTAACTTTATCTAATATTAAGCCTTATAATTAAATTAATTATTTAATAAAAAATTAAAAGTCTATTAAAGTAGTTTTTATATCTAATAAAATAAAAAAGTTATATAATAAGTTTTAAAGGACTTTTAAATAAGGAAGTAGTAATTAGGTATATAAAAATATAGTTAATAATAGGAAATAGTTAAAAAAGAAAAGTTAGTTGTTTTAAATAAATAAAATAAATTAAGTATTTAATATTAAGTAATTAATTAATTAGGTAAATTTATCTATAATTAATTTATTTACTTTAACTTTAACTATTAATTTAACTATTTAACTTATAAATAATACTTTTTATTTATATAACTATACTTAACTAAAACTTTATTAATTTTAGTCCTTATAACTTTTAATTAATATTATTATATTTACTTTATTTTATACTTTTTTAATACTTATATATAATAAAAATATTCTTAAATAGCTTTAATTTTAAATTTAATTTTTAAGTATAAAAGAATAAAATTAAATAAAATCCTTATTTAAATTATAATTTAATAATTTATATTAATATTAATAATATAAATAATATTTTAAATTATTAAAATATACTTTAATAAAATTAAAATTAAAAGTATAAAAATAAATATTTATATTTTATACTTTTATATTTATTACTTTAATTATTTTTACATTATAATATTATAAAGTATTATTTATTATAAAGATTAACTTTAAGTTTAAATATAAGTTTATTTTTAGTAAAATATTCTCTATTAGCTACTATAAAAGTATTTTTATTATATAACCCTTATATATTATAATAATAAGTAAATTATTAAATATAATTATAAAGAAAATATAAAGGTAAGTTCTTTATTTAAGAAAACTTTTAATTTATAAAATATATTTAATAAATACCTAATTTATTCTTTTATACTATTTTACTTATTAAAACTAGGTTTATTAATAAAAATAAATATTTCTATTATATAGTTTAGTTAATATATTTATTAAAGGTAGTAGTTATAAAGCTTTTATTATATTAATAGGTTAGTATATATATTTATTTATTACTTTATATATAAGTTTTAAAAGTATTATTTATTATTTTTATAATAATATTAATTTAAAACTATTTAATAAAAAGTATTATATTTTATTAAGGTATAAATTTAACTTATTAAGTAAAAGATTTTTAACTTTTAGTTTATATAACTTATATATTAATTAAGCTTTATAAATTTATTATAAAAGTAAGTTAATAAACCTTTAAAGTTTATTATTTTAATTTAACTATATTTAATAATAATAATAATAGTATATTTAGGGTAATTATATAAATAGTAGTAACCTTTTAATAGTATTTTTAAATTATAATATAATTAATTTAAAACTTAGTTTATAGTTATTTATTTAATAAGAATAAATTAGAGTATAAATAAAACTTTAATTATTAAAGTTTATAGCTTAATAAATAATAGCTTACTATTATTAATCTCTTTTTTTCCTCTTTTAGGGTGTAAATAGTGTTAGGTATAGTATTTTGTTGAAAATGTTGGGTTTTCCGCTTTATTAGTGAAGTTTTGGTTTAGCTGAGGAATAGGGGGTATTTTGTAGGGGGGGGGCTAACTCTCGTTTTTCCGAGACAGCGCACTGGTGGTCCTGTGTTTTCAGAGGCTGATATCTTGGTCCAGGCCCGAACTGACGACTCTCCTCCATCGTGTCGTCGGTTGTGTTCTGCAAGTGTATTCCCATCTAGTTGGGAAGGGTTTTGGGAGTTTCTTGCCACCCTCAAGCACAAACTCTGTTTTGTCAAACTCGTTGATTTTCAGTCATCGATTCTAGCCGTTCTGCACACCCGCTACAGCGGCTTACCAGCTAACTAATAAACCCTTCCGGGCCACTTCACACAGAAACATAGTCCGTTCCGTAGATGATTCCGACCGGCCTGCCGCAAAACAACCCAAACACGACAAACGCCATTTGTTTCAATTTTAAGCTTCTAGCGGACCGATGTCCCTGACTAAGGCCGCGAGCGTGTCCACAGATTGGGCGGCTATTCCTCGGAGTGAAGAAGATTCCAGGAATGTCTGTGGGCGGCTGCATGGAATGGAAGAAAAAAGGCTAAGTCTGTGGTACTGACCAAGGTCTACGATTCAATCATGCTTATCTAGGTGTTCTTACGTCCTATTCAGATGAGCGGCGTACTCTAAAACTTGGGCCGAGGCTGGCCGGATTCCACAACACAACCTTGCCCCCACTTTGGTTGGGCAATGGGCCCAGGACTCCAGGAGGTGCATCACTTCAATATTAACTTTTTTAGAAAGTTCGGGAAGTTGATCCGAACCAAAGTCCAAAGTCGGCCCGGCCCACCTTGGACATTCTGTCCTTCCAGCTAGCATTTTCTGCCCGCCAACCTAATACAAGAAGCAGCATTTCTATAACAGTTAAAGGTATATTAGAAATATATTCTTATATATCAAACTTATACATTCTACTATAGAGTTAGTAGTATTTTATAAAAGTATATAATCTATTTATAATTATATTAAAATATATTCTATACTATTCTTTTAGAATTATCCTAAATCTTATAACTTTTTAAAAATTAAAAAATAATAAAACCTTAAGAATTTATATTAAAAAATATTAAATATTTAG